TTTAATAGCTACAATATTTTATGGCAAATATTAAATCAATATTGTCCAGAAATCTTAAAGTATGATCCATTAATTAATTTAGAAACAAATCTCTACAAGAATCCCTCAAAATATATAGGGTGTCATTAAACAAAAGTTGAATATCGTACATACACTAAAACAACATACCGTTTAAAAATAAATCAAATCAGATCGTAGTATATTTAAAACGATTTAATTTGACGTATTAAGACAGCTACGGATCCAGGCTTTTTTTGAGCGGACGGTATAATTAATGAAAATTGGTCATATAGTACTAGCCATAACTTCCCTCGCTTCTGAAGTACCATCAGACAAATCCAGTGCTTTAGTAAAAAAAAAAAAACAATACCAACTGACGAGTGTGAGGGATCCAATTCTTTTTATATTATATATACAGGGTAATCCAAAAATGACAGATCTTGAAGGTACGTTGTTAAGAAAGTTCTGAAGAACTCGAAAAAAATGGTTTAAAAAAATCCCTGCATCAAACTTTTGAAAATATTAAATGTCAAAGAATTAACTTCGTAATTATGATTTACTTTTATTATTATGAACTGCATGTCTAATGGGCAGTTATTATAATTTGCTAGAATCCGATATACAACGTCATTTTTTACTGTTGACAGATGTCATTTTTGGCTATTTGTATCGGAATTTTAGACAGAATTACGATGCTAATTCTTCGACATTGAACTTCAATATTTTCAAAAATTTGGGTTAAGGATTTTTTTAACAATTTTTTTTTTACTTTTCAGAACCTTCTTAACAATGTACCATCGAGCTTTTCCGTCATTCTTGGATCACCCGATTCTTCAGTATTAATTATTTTTTTGCGAAAATCTGGATCTTATGGATTAAGGGGGAGTCATAAACCACAAGTACAGGAATATGTTATTTTAGAAAATTTAAAAAGTATTTGAAGTGACGTCATGAAATTGTGGATGGAGATGAATACCAAATTTTGCTTAGCGTTGTATCAGCTACTCAACAATTGGAAATTATAAATATGTTTTATAAAAATTGACACAGACGACAGACAAGTAATTTTTCATATTTTCGCGGTCATGAAACGTCTAGTAAACATAAAAGTAGTCATTCACTCGGGAAGTAACAATCAATAATTTCAAAGAATTTCTGAAACTTCCACACGTTACATTACATTTTAGCAATCAAGTCTACTTACAATTAACAGTTTACAATCTATAATTACCTACAAGCTACAAGTGAACAATTCAGCACAAAAGTGAACTAAACAGAAGAGAAATTTAGAAGAATTGCCTCACAATAGCGGACAAAAAGAATTCCAGAGGAAAAAAGAAATATTCAAACGTTCTACATTTTTACTTCTCAATGAAAAACTAGGGAAGTATTGTAGTAAGGTCCATCCCTGAACGACTACTTTCATGTTTTCTAGACCCCTAAAAGATGATAACATAGGTGTCCCAGTTCCGTCTATCAGTCGATTGTCTGTCTGTCATCTGTGTTGACTGTGAAACTAATTGTCAACAAATTTTATAATTGGTATGTCATGAATATTGTGTAAATGATAAAACCCTAACTAAAAGTTGCCACCTGCCAAAATCGGTCTTATTTTAGCAGTTACTAGCCCCACCCACCCACCCTTTCTTTTCTTAGAGGGCATGTCATTTGCCAAAATCAGTTTTGTCTTAGCAGGTAATACCCTCGTAACACCACCCTCTCTTTCTTAGAGGGTATGTCATTTGTCAAAATCAGTTTTATCTTAGCAGGTAATAGAAGCGCTACTCTCATTCTAACGATTTTATTTTTGTTCAGTATAAGATCCATCTTTGATTCGGAGCACATAAAATGGATCTCTGAAATACAGGCGGGGTGGGTGGGCGGGGTTAATCTGTATTAACACGCATTAGCCCCGCTCATCCACCCTCTCTTTTCTTAAAGGGTCTCTCATTTGCCAAAATCAGTCTTATTTTAGCAGCTACTAGCCCCGCCCACCCAAGCTCTCTTTTCTTAGAGGGTATGTAATTTGCCAAAAATCGGTCTTATTTTAGCAGTTAGTTCTGTATAATAACACGATGTTTTTTTAAAATGGTGAAAATAAAAGTGGCTGAAATAGTAACACAAGAAAACGATAGGGTTGATATAGTTAATGAAAAGAGCATTGAAAGTGGAACAAAAAGAAAAAGAGGAAACTTTGTATACTATATTGAAAAAAAAATTGACAATAACCCAGTAGTTTTGGAGATTACCCGAGTATTCAAACGACAAACGACAGACGAACAGACGGAAACGGAAGGCACTTTTTTTGGACCCTAGGGATCATGAAACGTCGAGAAAACATAAAATTTGCAAGTCGTCCGATGGACTCGATTACAATACTACTACGGGAAGAAAAATCTTCAACACATGCAGAAACACAAAGTGGTGAATAAAAATGACAGTCCAGACTTTTAGAAACAAACAAGGTTTGAAGGATGCATCCTGAGTCCCATCTTGTTTAACCTAATACAAGAATCGATAGCAAAAACGAACAACGAAGTAAAAATATACCATGTGAGCTTTTAGAAAGTGTATTTAAGAAAACTTACAGAATTGTATTATGCAGATTAAGTATTTGATAATGATTGTCGAAAAAGAAAAAATGAAAAAGTCAAAAACAATGATAACTGGGAATCTAAATAAGAAGGAGAAGATCAAAATAAGAGCCAAAAATAAGTATCTGAGAAGTATGAAAGTCAAAATAAATAACAAAATAAAAAAACAGGGAACCTATTTAATTGCGTGCAAATAACACTTTCTTGTTAAGAAAAAAATACCAAAAGAGATGAAGGAGAGAGTGATTAAAAAATAATAATAAAATCAAATTTGAAATTTGGAAGTGAAACATGGACAACGACATATAGAGAACGAAATCAGAGGTAACAAACAGTGTTGAAAGACACTTTTTAAGGGAAATATGATAAAGAACCAGACGTACTTAAATTAGAAATGAAGCAAAAGAAGTACGTAAAAGAAAAACAGGAAGGCCGTGAAAACCTTGGGAAGGGGAACTAAGAAAAATTGCCGAAATAAGATGAATCAGTTGAAGGGTAACGCATGATAGGGCGAAAATGAAAAAAAATGTGGAGAGAAAAATAACCCAAATCTGTTGTTCCGGCACCGACAGGTTGAAGAAGAGTAGAATTAAGTTAGTCTAGTAATTTCAAAATTGTGAAAATTTTTACATCTTCAATGTTCGTAGTTTTGTGTAGTGGAAATGTAAGATGCAAATTTTCAAAAATTAGAACAAATGATTGAAATGATTTGTGCTGCCACTGAAAACATACAGGGTCATCATAAATGATTGTAGTCAACTTGGCTTTGAAAACAAATGAATTTTTTGCTGTTGCCGCTTCATAATACGGTTCGAAGTAATTCGAACTATTAATTAAATGTCATGCTCTGTTTGAGGTTATTTTCAAAAATAAATAAAACATTCTTTAAGTGTTTAGGCCTAACTGCATGGCTTTCACTTAACACTTAGAAGTGTTACGTAAATTCATTTGTGTCCGTGCCCCCGTGCCTCGTGTGTTCGTGCAGTTTATAAAAAAAATATGGAACAAAATGCCGAATAACCAGTTGTACACCGGAGGAGGTTTTAATTATGGATTAAGTTTATGAATATGAATCCAAAGCTACCATAGAAAATAAAAAGGCCGATGTCATTTACTGGTGCGACAAAAATTCTGAAAAAAAGTGGTACGAGAACAAGAAAAATGAAGACCGGAAAACAGCCGCAGACGAAGAGGCCGAAAGAAGAAAGATTGGCAAAGGACCACGTCCAGTATTTGAAACAATAGATCCTTGTTTTGGTTAAGTTACGGACATCACAAATCAAAACACTTGTGGAGACTGGAGACGTACATTTCACATAGTGGGGACGAAAATGAAAGCATCAAACCAACAAATAGTCAAGATTGTGCAGAAGAAATCCTGTGTGTTTAGGTACAAGATGACATCACAGTCTTGGTTCCAATGTTGAACAGAAAAGCATAGTTGAACAGGGTGGTAGTCAGTGTTCTGTGGTTATGATTTACAAACAACCTCAAAAGAAGTAAGTATGCATTTCATTGTTATCTATAAAAAATGTACTGTTTATTTTCAGGACCACTGGCGTGTTACATGCCAAATAATTTTAAAAAGCTAATGGATCAGTAACTTCACAGTTCACACTAAAAATTGGTTCAGTGGAAGAAGAGCAAAGGTTATGGAGACTGTTCATGGGAACATAATTTCACAGAAGTGGCAGGGTTATGAAGTGGCAAAATTAAAAAAGCAATATTTCGGGAGGAGTTGTTAACTACAAAATAAGGAACGAGAAATTGAAGAATTTAATTTTAGGAAAAGGGTTTTAAAACCAGACCTTGAATTAGACGTACTTACTTCAAAGTAAAACATTAAAGAGTCCATTTTCAATTAAATGATGCTCATTTTTAACGTAATGTTAACAATAACATGAGATATTGTTAGTTTATAAATACATTTTTAGTATGTTGAAAAAGGACTCTTTTCAATTAAATGATGCTCATTTTTAATGTAATGTTAACAATAACATGAGATATTGTTAGTTTATAAATAAATTTTAATATGTTTTTCACTATAAATGAAATCAACAAAAAAAATTATTTTATTACCAATAAATTTTTACTGTCAAATATTACAATCTGTTTTAAAATGTTGTGTAAAACAACAGCAACAATCACAACTGTTAACACAGGAAACTGTCGTTTCAGAATCCCAAATGTGCATCCAATTCTATTGCGGCTTCCAATGTGTGACTGATAATAGAGCTGTTGTACTGGAGTAACGGGATATATCAGTAGTGTTAACAAGTATTTTTTTAAGGGATAACTTTTGTTACTTAGAAATATAATAATATAATAAAATTCTCTTAAAATATTCTATCCAAGAGCACACAACTTTGTAGTTGTGCATTTTCAAACAGATTTTAAACTGAACAATGATTAAAAATAGTACTATCATGTGTAGCTATTGATCATTGTGCCACAATATTTGAAATTTAATCCTTTCATCACATATGGCTTGTACATTAATGAAGATATAATCTTCCTGATTTCTAAAAATTTCCGGATCTTCTCCACCTAAAACTTTTACTATTTCATTTTTTGTGTTCTATGTTAACAAAAATTCATATACCTGGTAATTTAATTTTTATATGTGCATATGCAGTCCAAGGCGCCAATGAAGTCTGGAAAACGAGCTAGATGAACAACAATCTTTCACATTTGCTTGCTCCTCTACAATTTGAGGCATCACAAAAATTTTTTGGTACAGTATAATCACTGCTCTGGGTACTCAAGGAATTATTCTAACCACTATTGTTTGATGAATGTCCATAAAATCCATAGTACACTCTAAGTGCGCTCTACCAACGAAATATCATAAACCAATTAAGAGTTAGTTCATTGAAGAGAAACTTTGACTGCTAGAAGTGAAATATTTATCTCTGATTACTGACGTAAGTTCTACACTTACATATCTACAGAAAATTCTAGATGATGTTCTAGCAAAGGTGAAATACACATCACTGTTTCATTGGTCATCTGAAACTTTTTAAAACCTGCGCAATCACTCATACTGTGAAAATGATCAGCTCTTAATTAGGTTACTCCATGAACATCAAAGCATTCAAATTCTTCCATTTCATCAAATACTTCATTATTCATTATTAAATCATTGTCAACTAGAATTAAGCAGAACCTAATACTTTGTCGCTATATAATTTATATCACTCACCAAAAGCTAATTACTTTCAATTATAAAAGATGCTGGAAATGTTCCCCGTTTTGCTGTAAACATAAAGCTACCCTTCTTTTTTTGTTTTCAAAAATGTTTTCTAACATCACTACATCAATATTTTGACAACAATGTATAATTGCATCCATTAGTTCTTCCAAAGTATGTAATCGATGTTTGTATATGTTATCTTTCATCCATCCAAATATTGAATAATCAAGTGGAGTCAAATCAGGTGAACGAGCAGGCCACTCTGGATTAAGATTTTGACTTATTATACGATCCCCATAAAATTCTTGCAAGTATCTTAAAATTTCCATTGTTTTATGGGCTGGGGCTCCGTCTTGTTGGAAGTAACCAAATTCCAATTCCTCATCATCCAAGTGGTTTAGAAACACCTCTAATATTTGCTCCCTATACCTTGCGGAATTAATTGTGTTGTGAAAGAATATTGGCCCAATCACTCTTCTACGCGAAACCGCTAACCACACGCCAACTTTAACAGAGTGTAAAGGCCTTTCTTCAAAAACAAAAGGATTTTCAGCACTCCAAACTCTATAATTTTGCGAATTAACGTAGCCATTTAGATGAAACCATGCTTCATCTGAAAAAAATGACAAATCCAAAATTCTGTTGTTCATGTTGTTTTGAAACCATTCACAATATGCAACACGACGAGGATAATCAGCTGGTTTAAGTTCATGGATTGACGATACTTTATAGGGATGCATATGTAATGTTCTTTTTAAAACTTTCTGACAAGTGGTGTATGGGACACCAGATTGCAAAGACAGTTTACTCAAAGATTTTTTTGGGCTTTGCTCCATTCTTTCCCTCAAATCTTCGACCACCTCTTCACTAACTGGAGGCCTTCCTGGTGACTTGCCTTTAGAAACATTTCCAGTGCTGTTGAATCGGTCAACGATTCTTTTTATGTGTGTCATTAGACTGTTCTTCAATGTTTAATTCTGGAAATTTTGCCAAATACTCATCCTTGCAAGCTTGAACAGAATACACCCATTCCCCGTCCGCATTTAACGTCCCATTTCGATAGTAAGACATAACAATAAACGTATTTTGTTCAAGAGTGTACCCCATCTTAACCTAAAACAGATTTATTTGAAATATGAATACACATTAATTCATTTCTATTACCTTAATCGCTGTTATCAAATCGTTGTAGTTTTGATAAAAACTGGTTTAATTCAATTTAATTTATAACAAAGAAGACTGGAACAACAACACAAGTAAACAAGACGTGCGCGGGAAAGTATTATGACATATGACCAGTATGACATTTTTCTGACAGCAAAGCAAAACAAAAATTCCCCATAACTTTAGTGGACTATAATTAATAATTTTTTGAAAGTAAGAAGCGGCACATCAAAACAATTGCGTCAGCGCCTACTTCGACTACAATCATTTATGATAACCCTGTACTTCGGACGAAGAAGTAATTTTTAATTTTTGATGTTTTTGACTCATAATGAAAGCCTTAGAGAAAAAGTCAATCTCTCAAGATGTTGGTCTCATAGATATCGCCAAAGACTCTCCCGATTGTAAAAAAGTAGAGTGATTTTATACAAAATTTGACTAAAACCACCTTCTGCAAGCCCACAATTTTTATACGATGCCGATTATAACAAGTAATACAAATTTCACTACTTTTAAAATTGCTTTTCTTGTTAAAACTTTTATTTGCTCTTTGGCTGGCTGCCGTTAAAACTAAGAAAGTATCCCAAAACTATAGTACATAATTTTTTTATATGTACCTATATAAAAGATTGTAATTTAAAGAATTTTTCCAAATGTATCAGAATGTTTAAATTATGTTCAAAAAACAAGGAAGTCAATAATTAATTTCTAATAAAACCACCAATAGACGACAAACAGACGGAAACGGGTGACCTACTTTTCAAGTTCTAGGAGTTACGACATGTCGAGAAAACTTTAAATTAGTCAGTCATCAAATGGAACTTATTGCACTACTTCCTTAGCTTGCTCGAGGAAGAAAATATATTTGGGCAAACTTTTGTAACAAAGTAAAAAATAGTTTTTATTTAAAAAACCATAAACGACCAGACACAATGAATAAACACGGCTGTCTTTAAGCAATCAATGCACTAATCCTACAAAGACTTATATATAACACTTCCCACACTAGTGAGATAAATAACTGTTTTACAACACTATACATGTTTTATCTCTACGAGGCAGCAATGGTCAAATGGTTCTTACTTATAACAAATTACAAAAAACGTAAAACATCTCGCTTCGAGTAACGAAAAAAATATATCAAACTCTAGTCAAAAAAATAGTTAAGTGTTATAACCCAAAAGGTGTAGTCTTTTTCCAAATTTCTTTTCTTTTAATTCTGTGTAGATAAAGAATACGTACATTTTTAAAGTGTTAGACCTACCATAGTGGCAAAGTAGTACCTGTATTATCATCATATAAAAAGCTTTCATAGCACTGAGACAAATTTACAATGACTTCAAGATCGAACTTAGGTGTCCTTAATTCCTTTTCCTTGTAGAGTATTAAGAACACTTTGTATTTTTAAAGATTAGTTTCCCGGTGTAAAAACACTCGCCATATAAACCGAGGAAATGTAATTTGTAACAAACACATTCTACTACACATTTTTAAATTTATCGAATAGGTTTAAAAATCCCGTTTCAACAACACCATGACTTCTGCAGTACAAATGTTCTACTTACACTACAAAGGCGAAAACATACCAGCTCGTTCGTATGTGTACGATGAGAGCAAATGTTTTAGATTCAAGAATTTCTTTGATTGTAAGATTAGTAAATCTTTATAGGTCGTAATTATCGTCATAAAAACCCACAAAAGTCGTTGAATTATTATTTTTCAAGCGTTGGCAGTAATGTGAAGGAGACATATGGCTTCTGTTTATGAGCAGTTAACACTGTTAAAGACTTACTAAACTGAAACAACAACAAATTTAAGTCAGTATGGGAAAAAAAAGTTCTCCTGCGTGTCCTAAAATAAAACAGTTATTTTGTACAGAATATACAAAAAAAATCTCAATATTTTAATTATTATTATTGAAGAGTAAAAAATCTCATAATTGGAGAACTACTTATTTAGTTGCATTTTCTGAAATTGTCACTATTTACATCTGGCTGTACCAGCATTTTTTATTTCTACGTTCCTCCGGCATGTGTTCCATTTAGTAAAATGAAAAGTTATTGCTACGTGTAGGATGACTCTCAGTTTTATTATTGGCATGGAAATGTAGAAAAAGAACAAGGAAGAAGGTCATTAATGGCACTGAAGTAACTTCTCCACGAATTTTGATTCACTTGTGTACCATATGGTTGCATAAAGGTGGTGTAGTATTACCAATTAAAAGCTTTTATTGCACATAAATAGTAAACGAGATCCATTAAATTTAATTACTAAATGAAATGAATTTTATTCTGAAACGGTCACGATCGGTACAAGTGATAATTATTACATCTGCAACTTTTCATTACACAACTATTAAATTTTTTTCGAGCTTACCAAATTCACGTTTCAGTCAGATTAAGTCAGCATTCTCGTATTAATTCAAGTTAAGTCTAGTTAGACGCCGCGTACTCGTCATTATTCACAATTAAGTCAAATCTTTGTAGTTGAATTTTGTACAGTTTAATACCAAAATGTGCCTGGAACAGATTTGTTGCGTTAAGCAGATTCAATAGTCATTTTAAATGTCATAGCATCGAAACAGTTATTGATGATGTGAACAAAATTCGATAAAAGTCACAACAAAACAAAGAGAAAAATAAAGTATGATTATCATGTCGCATTTGCATTGGCTCATGATATAAATCTACGATCGCAGCCCACTGGAGCAGGATTCTTTCGTGTAATGGATATTTTGGTCTTGTTGCTGACAATAACAGAGACACCATGTAGGTGCACTAAATGTGACGAAGCAAACCTCTATCTTCTGAACATTTTGAATAAATGAGTGAACATAAACTATATATCTTGTTGTAGATATGTGTGTGTTTTAGTAGTTGCTTAGTTGATGCGTTGCAGTAACGACTGATTGACATCTAGTGATCTTTAACATATATTTATCGAGGCAATATTTTATGCAGTGTATTGTAATTTTTCAAAATACTAAAACACATAAATTCAACGAAATGGTTAATTTCTTCTCGTTACTGTCACATTTAAATCCTCCATTATTTATCATACATAATTCCTTTCTGAGAATTTCATATTTAGTGATTTTTTCATTCTCTAAAAAATTTTGGTTTGATCCGCGATTAAGTTAGATCAAAGTCACACTTCTTACTAAATAGCTGTTTTTTGCATATTTAGACACACTAAAAATAAATAATGAAATACAGTTCTAGGCATTGGTGACTAATTCCTCTTATTTGTTAAAAATGTGAAATTATGTACACCAAATTTCCCTCGTCTCTGATGTACAACAACAACCAAAACCGGACGCCTCTCAGGACGTGTTTTTCACACAAGACTCATTTATTAATTTTTTGAGGTGCGTCGTCACCTTTTTATCCGAGATAAACATATTAATTTTGATGTCTTCAATGTAACATTAATCATAACGTTTCGCTCCCAGAGTTTCCGGTTTTAAGATAATCGACAAAATAAATGAGTTCAAGAATTAAATAAATTTAAATATTTCTGGGTAATGTTCAGGAGATTTTAAATCAGTATTAGTGTCCTATAATATATTTCATGAAATCCGATTTGTCACTTATAAGTTAAATTGATTTCGGTTTTTTTTGGAAAACCCGTATACGTAAAATTTAAAATAGAAATTATTTAATCTAAAGTAGTCAGGCATATTAGTGTTATTTTTTTGTTATCTAGCAGCTAATTTCCTAGGCAATTACTAAAATAAACTATAATTTTGGGAGAATCGGACTTGGATTTTAAAACCGAAAAAGGCCAGATATCCCACTTTTTAAGCCAAAGATAATATCATCAGTTGACAAAATTTGGTAGTCTTTTCCTAATTTCATCATTTTAGTGGTAAAACTCACTTCCGAAGTATGCATTTTTACCGTTACCTTAATGAAAAAAATCTTGTGCTAAAATGCTCGACAAATATAAATCAATTTTTTCGTTCTTGTAAAAGTACATTCAAATGCGCCTAAAAAATCGTCAATAAATAAGCTTTTTTCTAACATTAAAATACAATATAATTTTTTTTCCACGATTCTCAGTTTGCTTCACTATTTAAATATATTCCTTTATTTTTATCTACATATACTTTGAATATTGAATTTTTTTATTTGTGTTCATAAATTTGTGCTATACATTAAAATGGTGAAAAATAAAGTTTGAAGACCTATATCGTCTACGTTTGAGCCCAAGAATTTTCTAAATTATTTTTTCTTTGCTCTATAAAGAAGCTGTCCATAACAACGTGTCATAGAATTAAGTTAGTGTGCCCCTGTATCATATATATTTTTAGTAAATTACGCTGAAACTGAGATCACTGGTAGAAACTAATACGGGGACGTGAGGCTTGTAACATTCGGCTCATTTCTTCGATAACTCTTGTCATTTTTCGAGAATCGCCAATTGAAAAATGGCAATTTTTAGAATTTTGAAAAAAACTTAATTTTGAACCCAATATCTCGAAAATTTTGCTACAAAACCCATGAACTACGCTATATTTTTCGAATCAACACGTCGAGTTCGATATACCAGAATTGTTTGTGAATTTTTAGACAACTTTTCTAAAACAGGAATTTTTCAATACCCACTTTTTGGTCCATCTTCACATAAACTAAATATTCATATTTTTAATTACAGAGAAAAAAAATATTATGGCACTAATAGTATGTATTATAACAATATATGGATACCAAAATTTTACTTTATATTCATCCGAGCACTCTTTCTTTATCGACCTAGGTAGTAATACTACATACTTGTTTCCAAGCACAATTTTTCAAGTGATCGCATCCCAGAGGATGTGTGTGATGTTCAGAAACAACAATCTCAGCCGTTTTATATCACTTTTTGCTTGGAAACGCGATGACTAGCTAATATAAAATTTGGAGGCAACTTTAAAGCAATATAGAAATGCGTAATAGTTTCAACGCAATCAAAAGAACCTTTCAATTTGTTCTTACGCAGGGTTGTGTAGAAAATTCATTTTCTGTAATTCGTTAAACGAATGTCATCCCTAGTGCTTGACAATCTAAAAATGATATACAACTTAATGCAATCGACATCCAATGATGAAAATGACTACAGAAAATACTTGACATATTTTGATTGAAAATTTCTAGCAGAAAAAGAACAAATTCTAAATTACCCTGCTTGAGTGAGATTATGAAAAATATCATTGTATAAATTGGTATAAATTTAGGTTGACTGGCTTTGTGCTCTTATTTTCCTTAAGTGTGTTTATTCAAACATCTCACCAGAATAAGTTTGTGATTGCATGCCTTTATCCTTTTAACAGCAAATT